TCTCTCTCTCTCTCTCTCTCTCTCTCTCTCTCTCTCTCTCTCTCTCTCTCTCTATCTATACATCTATTGATTACCTATTTACAAAATATCTATCTATCTATCTATCTATCTATCTATCTATCTATCTATCTATCTATCGTGTAATGCAGTTTTTAAATGTTAGCGTGCAGCACTAGTCGTGCATATAATATTAACCCTTGCATTTCTGGATTTGATAAAACGTCCGAATTAGGGAACATAGCTAGATTACACATGGATGAGCGCATTTAAAAGCTCTGAAAGCTCAGTTCTTGAGTCACAAAGAGTGTAAACAGCCTGGACAAACATTGATCCACAATAGTGAGCTTAACAAACCATTGCATGTGTTGTAAATAATGAAAGTTGCCAGAGTCTATTGATGTGCACAGCAAGTGTTAATTCCCATCCTGAGGACCACCACTCTTGTTGACCCAGCCCCTCCTTCCCAGGTGCAGGACCCTCATAAAAGCTTATCTGGCAGATTATCTCCAATTCAATTGCAGATGACTGGCCGACAGAGCTGGGTGTCTTTAGGGAAGAGAGCAGTGTCCTGGCATTCGGTGAAGGAATTCCTCCAGAGATACAAGACAGCACGGAGAGGACATTGCAATCCCGGCAGTTTATTACAACTGTCCCAGACGGTCACCCCTGGCCATGAGTTTCTTCCAACAGAACAGCAACTCCGAGGAGCAGTTCTTCTCAAGGATCTCAGAGGAGGAAGATGAAATTGATATCCTGGGAGAAGATAATAGCTGTGATTTCCAGCAACATTTCTGCCTCCAGCCTCCATCTTCAGACATGGACCATGAGGAGATGTCCCCTACCAAATCCAGCTGTGGGGATTCAGAGAGCGACTCTTCCGGGGAAAGTGAGATTGGGTCTACAGAGCAGAACATGAATGCTGGGGGAAAATCAAAGAGGACCTTGGTGAAACCCCCTTATTCATACATCGCCTTGATCACTATGGCTATACTACAGAGCCCCCACAAAAAGCTGACCCTCAGCGGAATCTGTGACTTCATCAGTAATAAATTCCCCTATTATAAGGACAAGTTCCCAGCCTGGCAAAACTCCATTAGGCACAACTTGTCCCTCAATGACTGCTTTATCAAGATCCCCAGGGAGCCGGGTAACCCAGGCAAGGGTAATTATTGGACCCTGGACCCAGCTTCAGAAGACATGTTTGATAATGGAAGCTTCCTTAGGAGGAGGAAACGGTTCAAAAGACACCACAACGAATTCATCAAAGATGGCTTGATGGTCTACCCTCCCTTTAATTACTACAGACCTTACAGAGCTTTTCACCCACAGACATTTGTTCAGCCCCATGCCCTAACACCATTGCCCATAACTGAAAGACTGGTGATCCCTACACACCCGCAGATCTCTTACCAGGATATTCCTCATGGGAAACTCACCAGCAACGCCCAAGGACAACATATACAGCTCAAACCCCAGGCTTTTGGCAACCAACAACCTCCAAATAAGTGCTCCTTTAGCATTGAGAGCATTATGAAGAAACCCAAGGAGCCAGAAGTCTCTGTTCCAGACCTCCATCAGTCCTGGAGCTATAACCATTTTCTGCAAAGGTCAGCTTCAATGCTGCCAGCCATACTTAACATAAATGCTGGACCTCTGGTATCATCCTATGGACCCAGACAGTACTGCCATATGAGGTTCCCCACTAGCTTCTGATATATATTCTGATATATATATACTTTGCTAGAATTAACTGTAACAGAACCTGAGCAATCACAAGACTACCACTGTGCTGCTTTTCTCTTGTATTTAACTAACCAATGTCTGATCTAAAGCAAATCAGAATTATTTATTACTGTACTTTATTATATAATACCAACGATCCCCATCACTGCTCTGCTTTTTTTTTTTTAGCACTGAGCAGTTGGTGTGGAAGGTATAATTATTTGTTGATGTGCTTTTTGTTTTTATTTTGGCTCTCTGAGAGTAGTGTGTTGTATTTAAAATTTTGAATGGCTGTGAAGTTATCCTATGTTGTTTCTTGTTTCTTTTGTAAATGTAAATAGTTATGTAAATGTAAATAGGAAGTATTTATTGTCAGAGAGATAAGGAGACGTGTGGTAAATCCATACAATAAAACTGTTTATTAGTGATAAAGAAGGCTGCTTTATTTTGTCCTTTTTAATGTGAAATAGAGGTTTGTTTTGCTTTATTGGAGGAAACAGATATATGATATAATTTACTTTGAATCTCATAAATATGCCATGCAGTAAAGGAGTACAGGTCTATGGTTATATATTTCAACTAGAAAATTTCCCAGGAACAGTTTAACATTTCAGTGGATAAAAGATATACATGAACTAAGTGGTGTAACAGGTGCATAAGGTGTAACATTAAACCATTTGATACCCCAAACTGCAAGCAAAAGAATACAGGAGTAAATTATGTTTATACAAGTGAGCTTGTTACATTTACTTATTATTAAAGTGGCGATCCACTGTAGCATTTGTTTGGTCAGAGTGGTCTGTATGAAAAGAGTTTAAAAAAATGCACTGACACAATATAATTATGAGTTCATATGACAGATCACATAGCAGCTATACACTGGTTACATTTCTCACATGTTCTTGTTTCGTACTTTAGTATATAGTCTGCTTGTAAAATATAGAAGTAGTGTGCTACTGAAAAAATTGTACACTAATAGATGGTATAGGTGTTAATCTATTATTATTATTAATCTAATAAAGTCAGCATTCACTTCAAATACTCAGTCAGGGAAATTAACAAACACAAATTCACACCCACCATTCTGGGGAGCACAGTCAGGGTAAAAATCACATAGCAAAATACACACAAAAAAGAGCAAATTTGCCAAAAATAACAGTAACAATCTCTATGATTAAGCCTATCTGGTGGTACACGTGAGAGGCTATAGGATTGGAGTGGGATGATTTTACTGTGAAATTGGATGGAATGAACTTTCAATCAATCTGATTTTTTATGAACTGTGGGATGTGTGGCTCTACATTGGAATTTCAACAATCAAATCACTATTATTATCAAATGTAAAAAGGCAAACAGTACTTGTCATCTTATTATGCTGTTTGGTAACACAAGAGACTATGTAGAGAAAGGTGTGTTACACTTAATTTTTACATTAAAATGCTGATATCTGGAAAGCTACCCAAAAAATTAATTTATCAGTTCTCTTTGACCTGATGGGTGTTTTGAAATCTGTATAGCATTATATTGGGCTTTAGATGTATGCATTGCGGAAAGGTACCTTATGTGTGCTTGTGTGTTGCGGTGCCAATAATTTTGAATATCATCTTAATGCACTTACACAACACAGCAGTGCACTGCACCACCACAGACAGAAATGCACTACCGTGCATCATGGTGCAATGCGTAAAAAAAAAAGGTAAAGGTACTTTTATTGTCAGTTCTGTCGGGGTGCTGAGACACACATTAACATTAAAATATATCATGTGTGTTTATGCAGTGCACCAGCATAGACAGGTATAAAGTGTTTCATTATTTTATAGGCAAATTACACTAAAACATTGTCCCCCACCTTCTTAGAAAATCATGAACTGAACACCTTAAACAGACACCTTTTCAGGAACAAATAGTCAAGGTGATACATGAATGGTCCTTGCACAGTTGCTTTCATTGGATGCCCCTGCCGTATTATGGAATACATGGCACATGTCAGCAGGATTTTACTGTATGTTGGGAGCAGGCTTCATTATACTTAGGATTAGTGAATCAGCCGTTGTTCAGATATAGTATGCCACCAGCACACTGGAATCGAGTGTGCAAAATCATCTTTATTGACGCATGTACATCTTATTGCAACCCACAATCTTTTAAAACCCAACTGATATGAAAACTTGAAACAAAAAACAAATATCAAACAAAATTATACCCACCAAAAAAGCAATGGTGGTGGTGGTGGGGATGTTGGGGGGAGGGCCCAGAAGCTAAACAACAAATTAAGTTGCTGCTGACACACACAAAAAAAGGTATCTCTCCCTGAAAACACTCGGCAATCTTTCCCTAATCTGCTACAGGACTGTCCAATGCACAGTGTGACTTAAAGGGGTTCTAAACCCTCCGGTTGTTGTTGCCTATATCTACTGCTAGCAAGCAGTAGATATAGGCAAGAAGTGTAAAAAAAAAACCAAAAAACGCTTAAAATCATTTAAAACTTACCTCGTTATCGCCGCTCGTTCCCGCGCCGAGAATCAGGAACTGCTCGTACGGCCGCAAAGGATCTTGGGGCGGGCGCATGCGCAGTTCCGATTCTCGGCCGGGAGACGAGCAGAGACGCAAGGTAAGTCTATGGACGCGTGCACCCGCCTGCAGACACAGCTGGATCGGAGAGACAGAGCAGTCAGCGCTGGATCGGATTGACGTCACACCGCTGGAGGGACACATGAAAACATGGGGAAAGAAGAGGAAGATCGGAAAAAGAGACATCATTTAAGGTAAGTGCTAACATTTACATGGGGGGGAGGGGAAAACAAATTTGCCTTTAATGTCACTTTAATGTAAGTACTGTATAGATTTTTTTAGCAATCAGTAGAACCTAGCTCTCCTTGCAAACACTCTGATCTTTCCCTAGGTACTCCAAGCTACTCCACTGAACAAAGAATGTTGGAGACCATGACTTTTATAGGTAGGGTGCTGGCACACAAGAAAACCTCTAGGATTGGCCCTTTTAAGTCACCGGACCACAGTTCAGAGACCAGGAAGTGCATGTTGGACACAGCAGAAAATGAAAATAAATATTTTCATAGAGAGGGATCCTATCCTTGTCACAGGAGCATTGAAAGCCTCCTGTTCTGGTGACAACTGTAAAAATGTTGGATTTTCTCATTAAGTCCTGCCTTTGCCTTTTTGGTCACAAACATTCAAACAAAAATACAGATGTATGAAACTTCTAAAACTTCTAAAACAGATCTAAAACTTCTCCCTAATTGGGGGCGTACCACCATCTTTATTGTATTTGAAGACAAAGAAAAGGTAAATATGGGAAGTTATTGGTACAATGTCCTCTCTAAAAAAACTTACATAGTTACATAGTTTTATTAACAATTCTCTTAAAACCATATAAAAAAAAGCTGGTGCTTATTCAAAATTTGCATTTATTGACACCTCCATGTCTGTCCCATGTATTTTCACATGTAAGTTACAGTTACTAAAAAAAAAAAAAATACAATACATCAATAATGTCTTAATAAACAATAGCAATAAAGAAATTGGTTGATGGGGAAACTGTGCATTCTCAATGTGTTTCATAGAGCAAGTGCTCACTTCATCAGGAGGACGCAGGAGGTAAATATCTAACCCAATGCAAATACACTATATTGCCAAAAGTATTGGGACACCCCTCCAAATCATTGGATTCAAGTGTTCCAATCACCTCTATGGCCACAGGTGTATAAAATCAAGCACCTAGGCATGCAGACTGCTTCTATAAACATTTGTGAAAGAATGGGTCGCTCTCAGGAGCTCAGTGAATTCAAGCGTGGTACCGTGATAGGTTGCCACCTGTGCAATAAGTCCATCCGTGAAATTTCCCTGCTACTAAATATTCCACGGTCACCTGTTAGTGGTATTATAAGTGGAAGCAACTGGGAACAACACCAACTCAGCCACGAAGTGGTAGGCCATGTAAAATGACAGAGCGGGATCAGCGCATGCTGTCAGGAGGTATCGTTGACCTGGGCCGTGAAGCGGAACCCACTGGCAGGAACGGGCAGAGGCCCGAAAACAAGGTATAAAAAGGAGCAGTCCAAAGGCAAAGTCCAGTCCGAGTCGAAGCAGGCAGCTTGGTTCAAGAACGGGAAGGCAGGCCAAAGAGTCAGCAACAGGAAGTCAGACGAGGGATTAGGAAATGGCTGTAACAGCAAACACAGGAGGCTAGGCGATTGCACCATATAGGTAGAATAACTCAGCAAGGGGCTCTGACTGGGATTTATACCCAGTGGGAGCTGGAACCACCCCATGGTTGTCGAGGCAACCAGGAGGCTTCTCCATCCGGGAGCCAATGGCAAAAGAGAAAAGGCAGAAGGTGTGTGCTGGGCACCTCCACCAGCAAGGCCCACACCTGACACCACTAATGGGCGCAGGCGCACTACGCACGCCCCCTTGTGCACGCGCAAGCAGCCTGTCCACCTCGCACCCACCGCGCATTTCACGCATGCGCACCCACAACCCTGGCGCCAGGAGTCCTGCCAGGAAGGAGACCCCGTGCCTTATGCTGCAATTGGCAACCCCGAGGAGTGGTAAGGCCCCTGGTACCCTGACACATGCTGAAGTGCACAGTGTCAATAGCTACAGATCTCCAAACTTCGTGTGGTCTTCAGATTGGCACAACGACAGTGCATAGAGAGCTTCATGGAATGGGTTTCCATGGCCGAGGAACTGCATCCAAGCCTTACATCACCAAGTGCAATGCAAAGCGTCCGATGCAGAGGTGTAAAGCACGCCGCCACTGGACTCTAGAGAAGTGGAGACATGTTCGCTGGAGTGACGAATCACGCTTCTCTGTCTGGCAATCCGATGGGTGTGTCTGGGTTTGGCGGTTGCCAAGAGAACGGTACTTGCCTGACTGCATTGTGCCAAGTGTAAAGTTGGGACAATTCATATTTACAGTCTTTGACAATCTCCTTTTGCATGGTCTGCATTCTTATATAGCTTCATGTAGC